CCCTTTTTTAAAGATGGGCACTACATTAGCCTTTTTCCAGTCATCCGGGACCTCCCCCGATCGCCATGAGTTTTCAAAGATGATGGCCAATGGCTCCGCAATCACATCCGCCAACTCCTTTAGCACCCTCGGATGCAGTGCATCCGGCCCCATGGATTTGTGCTCATCCAGTTTTTCTAAATGGTCCCGAACCACTTCTTTCTCCACGGAGGGCTGGTCACCTCCTCCCCATACTGTGCTGCCCAGTCCAGCAGTCTGGGAGCTGACCTTGTTTGTGAAGACAGAGGCAAAAAAAGCATTGAGTACATTAGCTTTTTCCACATCCTCTGTCACTAGGTTGCCTCCCTCATTCAGTAAGGGGTCTGCGCTTTCCTTGACTTTCTTCTTGTTGCTAACATACCTGAAGAAACCCTTCTTGTTATTCTTAACATCTCTTGCTAGCTGCAAGTCCAAGGGCGATTTGGCCTTCCTGATTTCACTCTTGCATGCCTGAGCGATATTTTTATACTCCTCCCTGGTTCTTACACCTTCCTCTGAAGCATCTGGTACTGGACTAGATGGACCTCAGAGTCTGATCCATTATGGTAGTTCTTGTGGTCTCACTCCTGAATGCCTTTGATTCATTGTCCTGGCTGCCTTTGGAGCTTTGTCAGGGGATGAATGAGGGTCTCTCTTGCTTGCTCTTGGTGGAGAAGGCAAAACCTATTGGCCCTTCTCCCAGAGAGAATGGTGGGCTCTACAGTTTCATTCATCTCTTCTCTGTGGATTGCCATTTCTCTTTCACTTGTGATGACCATATGTTCCTCCTTGCATGTGCACATTTCTCCGATTACATCAGTATCTACAGTGACAACCCTAGCCCTCCACCAAGTATGTAGTGTGACTTTGTGGCTTGCCACCAGGGTTACTTAGGAGTGATGTTCACCTCCCCTTGACTTGTGTGATGTATTGCAAAGACAAACGGGGGCTTAATTTATGGTACAGAAGTCCTGAGGTACTGGTAGGACTTTGGACCTGGTTTCCCCTGAGATAATGGTTGATCAGCTAAATAGCCCTTTGTGTGCTATGACTTTCTGTCTTCCTCTGTCTACTCTAGGTTTCCCTAATGTAACAATGGCTCCTCATTGTGACCTGGAATCCTCTCAAGGTCCCATTGTACAAAAAAGTGATCCTCCCACACAGCTTTCCATCCTTAGTGAATCTATCATGGATCCCCAGGTAATGTACTCTTTATATGTACTGTAAGTTATCCTAAATCAGCTCTTTTGTGTATAGTATCTATATTATTATGTTTAACACTGTGTACTGAGATAAAACTACATATATTCTGTAGAAAATAATTTATTTTGGGTTGCTTTGGGAACTCTGACTTAGGATTTCCTGACCTTTTTGTACAAAAAGCATCAACTTTGATGTTGCATTAACATGGTTTCATTTGTGTTTCATTATTAAAAAGTAAAAGTAGAAGTGATTGGTTAAATCTGGAACCAATTTCTCTGACCTTTAGCTGAATGCGCACACATTGAAATATACTCGGACGCCTTTATTTCAGTGCAGTGATATCTCTGTATGTGGCTATTTCGCTGACTGCATTCAGGGTGTTCTTTTGATGTTCACTTAAGTCTAACTATTTCTTAACTAGTTTTTTAGAGGTAACGTTTTAAAACAAAATATTTTTTGCTTTAGACAAGTAAAGTTTGAATAACTTTAATGTGCTTTTCCCCCTCAGATGAAGACACTTCACCCCAAAGGGCTACTTTTCAGAAAAGTTACAAGTGACAGAAAATAGGGTCTTGGCATGAAAGTGTCATTTCTACCATACGTGTAGTCTTCCTATTATGATTATGGTACTAATATTTACACCATAGCACCTTGAACAAATACATAGTATCCTACACTGAATTCAGGACTGCTCTGCCAGTCAGCCTGGGTTCTTTTTATATGGAGGCATTAATTATTTGCATTTTTTGCTGTGGCCTTTGATTTATATATGTAGCATATTCTATCGCTGCATGTGAGTTGTATGATAAGTTGAAAGAATGGGCTTTCCAGAGGAAGCTAGGGGAGGCGGGTGCCCAACCACCATCTAATTTCAGTGAGATTTGGGTGTCCAGCTCTCTTCTACTCTTTTGAAAATCCTGACTAAAGATCCTGTTGTAAAGCATCCACAGGGCAAAATTCTGGTTACTGCAGGAGACCTTAATTCTGAATTGACTTTCCTAAGTTATGTGCACAATGAAATATCGCCCTTTTCATTGTATTATGTCACTGTTTATGCATGTGCTGTAAATGCAATTCATATGTGGGTTTTTATATATAAACTACATTAAAAGAATATTGTTTAGATTGCAAAGTGAACCATTCAAAACTTAGGAAATGCCAGAATCTAGTATTAATTCTGCCACTTAATTATATGATCATATGTTATGTTTTTCCACAATACCCATCTCATTTGATGGCTAGAAAGGCCACTACTAAGGAAATGAGGCGGCTGTTCAATATTTTTTATCTGCAGTCATTGTGCAGCCCTTGCCTTACTGCACACGTCCAAACAAAGCATTGAATACTGAAGTATTCATTTCCTGTGGTCTTTCCTAGAGTACTCATCGCTGTAGTATCCCAGTACTTCACAAACATTAATGAATTTATTTCCTGTCTTCTCTGTAAGATGAGAGTATTTTTGTCCATATTTTAGAGGTGAACTACAATAAAGAGATTTGTTTTCTGGGAAGTGTTTCTAGTGAACTACTTTATTTTTTCCTTTATGAAGGATGGATTTAAATTGCTGTCATGTAACATTTGAGATGTCTTGTGTTTTTCTGAGACAGGCTCTCAATGAAGTAGAAGGGGAAGATTCCTCCAACTGTCAATCAGAGGACAGTGTGAATGAACAGGATGTGTCTTTGCACTTCAAGTCCAACATTGACACAAACAGGTCAGTGTGTGTTTCTGTCAATCAGTCCGCTATCATAAGGCTTCTGTCCCCATAGTGTTTTAATAGCACAATCAGATGTCCAAACACCTTTGTGCTTTCTCAAATCGCTATCTCTTTTATGCACAGGAGTTGCTCCCCATAAATATCCACAAAGCTATTACGATATCCTCCTTCAAATCTCTCCTTAAAACTCACCTCTCCCATGATGCCTACAAAACACTTGGCAGTGACTAGGCACTTGGTGAGCTGTGACTGATATTTATTAGACTTACCATAATTCTCTCATTGTTACCTTGTTGTGTGTCTCCCCCTTCCCCCCCCCCCCCCCCTGGTCTCATATTTGCATTGTAAGCTACTTGGGGACAGGGGTCTTCTTTCAGTTGTATGGACAGTGCCTAGTGCAGTGGGCTCTCATTCCTGATTTGGACCTCTAGGCACTACCTCAGTACATATAATAGGTTGACTTGTGGAATTGGATTGGTGGTTGAAACCCTAATAGCAATTAAGAGCACCCAGAGAGGAGAGAGTGTAAAGGGAAAAGAGGGCAGGCTAAGAACAGGACTTTGTGGGACCCCAGTGGACTGCAAGACATTGGAAGAGAAGGACCCATTGACAGACATGAAAGGCATGATCAAATAGGAGAATCAGAAGAGAACTGCATTGAGTCCAGAACAGATAATATATCAAGAAGAAAGGTGTGATCAACCATGTCAGAAGCAACAGAAATGTCAAGAATGATGAAGATGGAGTAGAGACCTTTGGACTTGGCTAAGAAAAGCCTGTTGGACTTTAAGAGCTGTTTCACAGTAGTGAAGAGGCTAGAAGGCAGATGGGGGGCGGGGGGGTGGAATCAAGGATGGAGTTAGGAACTTGAGGTAACAGTTTCATATGGTATGTTCTGTAATCTCATATGTGAAGGATAGAAGGGAGGGGTAGTAGTCAGAGGCAGTTGAAATGTGGGGGTTGTCTTTTGGGAGTGGGAGATGATGACTACAGCATGCTTGTATCTGTAGAGGAAAGGACTGAGGGAGGTCAGGAGTTGGGAGGGAATGGGGTCAATTGCACAGATGGCTGTATTAGAGATAGAAAGTGCATCAGAAGCCTCAGTGTTAGTCATAGAGGTGAAAAAGGTGGAGGAAAGAAGAACAGGGGAGAGAGGAGATCATAGCAGACCTCATCTTTTTTGCATGTGCCAAAGACTAGAACTTTTGCACTGAAGAGTTAACCATTCATGCAAAACTCAAAATCCTGGAAAAGAAGTTAAGCATATTCCTATCATACTTAACTTATACAAACATGTGCTCACTATAGCTAACATATCATCATATCCTCCATATACACCATTCATCATCATCAACTCCATTATTTGTGTTTTAACTCTCAGTAGTGATCTCTCGCAGAAACATATATGCGTATGTACTTATGTGTTGAATAACTGGAGGTTGAAAGTGTGTCTTGTGAGTGCTCTAAGGGGGTAGATCATATATTTGTTTCATTGTATAAGGTATGTGCTCAGTGATAAGGTTGGCTAGTATTTAAGATGTTTGAGTGATTGTGGGTAGTGGTGTGTGTTTGTTGAAAGTCTGCTGTATGTGTTGGTGGATTAGTGTGGATGTCTGTAGTGGGTGTAGGTGTAGTATGGTTCGTATAGACTTATCTTTTTGTTTCTTTTGATTGTAGTTCTCCATCAGTGTTGTATTGACTTCAGCAACTTATATTGTGAATGAAATTTTTATATAGAATTTTTATTACATTTGGCCATGTTGGTTTGCAACTATAGCAATGTGTATTTGAGTTAACTGAGGAAAGTAGCATTGGGTTTGAAGGATGTTGTGTTGGAGTTCTTAAAGTAGCACACTTGCTGGGGGTCGTTATCAAATGTCATGTCATCATGGCCTGCTCTATGCTTAAAGCTTAGCTTGGCTTAGCTAAAGCACTCAGAAATGTGAAAAATCCACACTCCTGAGTGCCGCAACTACGCTGACCTAAAACCCTGGTGTAGATGCAGTTCAGTCAACAGAAGCATTCATCCATCAACCTAGCTACCATCACTTGTGAAGGTGGAGTTACTATAGTGGTAGAAGAACCCTTTCTGTCATTGTAGTGTGCATCTACACTATGGGGTTACAGCCGTGTAGCTGTGGTGCTGTAGCTATGCCACTGTAACCTTCATAATGTAAACCAGCCTTGTGTTGGTTACAGTGGAGGAGTACTTGTGTAACTAAAATAGAGTGGGGAAGGATTTAACTCATTTCTAGGATTTTGAGGCTTTGCATTAATGAGGAATTTGCTTGAGCAATTTTAACTACTTTTTACTCCTGAGGGCATTTTTGTGGCTTCGTTTTGATTCCCCAGCAGAGTCATTTTTCTGCAGGGAAGCAAAGAAATCTGCGGGGGACATAAATTATGCACATGTGCAGTGGCACAGAATTCCCCCAGGAGTAAAGACTTTTTGAGAGGCTTTTTATGGATAGATGGTAAAGATTAGCTGTAAGCATTGTCATTTCAGAGTTCATTGTACCCTTGCGCACACACACTCACTCTCACTCTCTCTCTCTCTCTCTCTCTCTCTCATGCTTATATATAGGCTACTCCACTTACTGAAAGAAGAAAATGCTGCTGGAGCTTCCCAGCTATGGGCTGAGAAGCAACTGAGAACACCTACTCCATCACAGAAAGCAAATGTAGCTGTGACTCCAACAACTGCTTTGCCATCATCAGGAGCTGCAGGTTTGGCTCTGCTAGAACATTAACTCTCAAAGGACATAGGCTGCTAACCACATCTTACTCAGAATAATTTTAGTGGCGAGGAAGGGACAGGATATTTTCAGAAATCTGAGTTGGCGCTGGCAGTTTGAATGTGTTTATATATAGAGACAAGGTGGGTGAGATATCTTTTATTGGACCAATTTCTGTTGGCGAGGGAGACCAGCTTTTGAGCTATACAGAGCTCTTATTCAGTATGGGAAAGGTACTCAGTGTCACAACTAAATACAAGGTGTAACAGATTGTTTAGCATCAGTAGTTAACACGTATTCTAAGTGAAGTGACCTGTTAATATCTCTCCAGTCATAGGACAAAAAAGGGGGGTTAGTGGGTTACAGATTGTTGTAATAAATCATAAATCCAGTGTCTTAAGTCCCATTATTTTTAGTGTCTAGCAAAGTTATGAATTTAAGCTCCCAGGCTCATCTTTTTGAAGTTGTTGTGCAGGTTACCTTTGAGGATGAGGACTAAGAGGTCAGATATGGAGTGATTTGTTTTGTGAAAAGTGTTCGCCCATGGGTGATATGGTGTCTTTGTCTCTTATCATTTTGCGATGTGAGTTCATTTGAGAGTGTAGTTATTGTCTGGTTTCACCCACATAGTTGTTGTTGCGACATTTAGTGCATTGGATGAAATATTTTACAGTTAATCAGTTAGTTTGTTTGTTTGTTTTTTAATCAGCCCTCAATGCTACCAGAGTAGTCCAGAGAGTCCATTCAAGGCTTCAGAATGAAGATGAAGAACAGACTTCAGATTCCTCTTACACTGTGAGACAAGTGCTGAACCCAAACCTAAGAAAGCAAAAGCAAGTTTCAACAAAAGGTTTGATCCTTTTAAAATGAATATTTCATCCAAAGTAACTAACTTGTACACCTCTACCTCAATATAACGCTGTCCTCGGGAGCCAAAAAATCTTACCGCGTTTTATAGGTGAAACCGCGTTATATTGAACTTGCTTTGATCCACCGGAGTGCTCAGCCCCGCCCTCCCCTCCCCCGGAGCACTGCTTTACCATGTTATATCCGAATTCATGTTATATCGGGTTGCGTTATATCAAGGTAGAGGTATACTTGAGACAGTGTATCTGCCTTCCTCCAGTGTCCCTTAAAGCTCTGGTTGAGACCATATTTTCATTAAACGGTACTGATTATCAATGTAATTTATTGGAGTTAAAAGTCAAGATACAGTAGCAATTTAGTACTTTAACATGATAGGGAAAGAGGAGAATTCTTTACTGCTTGTGATCCCTGGTTACAGTACAGTCTTTGCTTGGAGTTTTACTTTCAGCTCTGGTATTTGCTAAGATTACAGAGAGAGAAGTAGTGACTACATAGCTAAGGTTGCATTGTGATTTGCTCATGAAGGACTGAAATCTTGTTTTGAATTTAGTCTCCAAATTTGGCACAACAGCCCTTCAGGGGACAATTTGAAATTTTCATTTAAATTGTTTTAGGAAAACACTTACTAATTTTTAGGAAGCATTTTTAAATGAAATTTGGTCTGGGTGTTTGAATTTTTTTAGGTGCCTCTGACTTAAAGACGGGGAGGGGGACCCAAAACAGTCTCTCTACCCTGGTCCCTCCCAACTTCTAAAATGTCTCTCACATAATGCTGTATGTATAGAACACTTAGGAAATTTGGCAATTCTGTGCATAAAGAATAGTTCCCCTTACTCCTCATAACTGAATAGATTTGCATGAAGTGGCTGAGGGAGGAAGCGCAGTCTTCGTGTGTTAATACCTCGGTGCATATGTACTGGGATCCACATCATGCTATTACTGATTCACCATGCAAAAGAGGCAACAATGTCATGAGGAACTAGCTCTGTATGCAATGTGGTATTGCCATTGCTAGGGCTTCATATTGCCACTGCTGTTTTGGTACCAGCAGGCAGCAGGACTGTGGGGAGCCAATTGGGGGAGCTGCCATGTAGGACATGTAAGGGTGTTTTAAGGGGTTTTGGGGATGGAGTGTCATATACTTTGAGACTCTGGGAGGTTATAACCTTCTTCAGCAGCAGTTTTAGTCCAATTGATTCACTCAGGGTCATCATATGAGGACTCTCTTCTGAAAAACTACAGGAAGCTTGTCAGACAGCGAAGATGCCTTAGGAGTGGAGCTGGTAACTTAATTATAGGTGCACTTTTTGCTGCAAGTCCCGTCCCACCCCCTATGCCTCAGCTCTGTTATATTTGGTTCCCCACAGCTAAGTCTTGGTCAGATGTGCCTTAGCAGGTCTATCAAACTTTGACTCCTGCTGAGAAGCATAGCAAAGGTCCATGGGAGGTTGGGGAATGTAGATGGGATACCTTCATGCTACTCACTTCCCTGCTAACTCATCTGTACCTCTCTACATGGCTGTCCTAATGCACTCCCTGGAACTTTTTCTGTGCTGTATTGCACGGATCTATGATGATGTTCAATCTATGTATTCAATATTTAGGGGTTTGTAGAAGAGTTGAGTCTCTAAACAATGTTGGTTCTGCAGAAATTTAGACTAGGGGTTCCCAAAGTGAGGCCTGAAGGCGGAGAAATCCAATGTACAGTTGTCCTTCCCTGTATTTGTGGGCTGAAGGTTGTTGATCAGCTGTATATTCCCAAGGTTATTGAAGTTCACCCTCAAACAGTTTCTAATTATCTGCCAAGGAAGATAAAAGTATGAACAAATGCTGGAGTTGGTGCCTTTATTTTGATGTTCATTTACCATACATTTAAATCAGGTGTGGTCTCTGGCTCCTTGAAAGTCACTAGGGTGGCCCTCAGAGTTAAGGTTTAGAGTCTAGTTTCTGAGGATTTAGAAACCACCTGTATTAATCTAAATGACTAGGATGCATCTATCTTTGATGTTCCTTTGTCCATTATAGTGCTGGAACAGAGTACTTCTCCCACAGTTGGAATTTAAAGGATTTTTTTGTCTGTCTCTCTTTCAGTGAAAAGAAATCATACTGCACAGATGGCTTCCAAACAGAGAAGAAATGATTCTCTTGCTAATGCAGTTTCCTTCAAACTCCCAAGTGGCAATAAATCCAGCTTGGATGTCCTGAATCGCATGATTCACGAAGTGGAGCATGAAATGGAGGAATATGAGCAATGGACAGGCCGTGAGGTACAGAGAATGCAAAACGGTCATGGCCTCACAGGGTTCACTGTGTCACTGGTGAACACACTCTGTCGTCTGATGCGCTACCTCAAGGAGGTGAGTAGATGTTATGTGACCTGCTTCTGTAGCTAGAATGAATAAGCACGAGGATTATAGATTAATTTACAACCTTAACTTTGACATTTCCTAACTTCCAAGTCCTTTACTTTGTAATCTCAATATCTTTAATAGTTTTGTTAGGATTGTTTGTGTGCAATTAAAAAAAGGTAAAATTATTAATTCAGCAGAAACTATGCTCTCTCTAATAAACGGGCAGGAGTTCACCGAACTGAAATGGACGCGGTCTCCCATTTACTTCAATGAGAGATGTAGTCCACTTAAACAAAAACCAACTGATTGTGAACAAAGCAACATTTAAACACACCCAATATTCTGAATATGCATTTAATTTTTATAGTTTAAAAAGTGTTCTATCTGTCTTAGGTATGTGTGCTCTGGGATTAGTTATATGCTAAAGATCTCCGTCCCTTCCTGGTTCCTCCACATGGTGCTGTGATGTAGTTCCCAGGCACTAGCTGCCACTTGTTTCACAGTGAACTGCTCTGCTCTGAGCACAGGGTTTTTTTTAGACCCTTGCATTTGGATGATAGTCCTCCTTTCAGTTGTGTTGCTTCTTTGCGCTGTGTTCCCCTCACAGGGAGCACTGGGCCTAGGCCTGGACTGCGAAGATTTGGGTAGGCTATACCCTTGGGTCTGAGGCACAGATGAGGTTGCATCACAAACAGCAGAGGCTGGTCCTTCACCCTAGTTGAAAAATACTGTTGACCAGGCAAGGCTGAAGATGGGCTGAAATTGATTCCTGGCCATCTGTCACTGTCATCATTGGAAGTGAGTCTCCATTCAGGTCTTGAGAGAGTCGAGTGGTGTCCAGCCCATAGATATGGACTGTGGGCCATGCGGTCAAACCCTGATTGAGAGGGATACAGCCACAGTTGTGTGACTTGTTGGGCTGTCCCCTGCTCTTTTTGCAGTGGCTAAGCCAAATACAGCCACACCGTATTTGATACTGGTAACCCTTGGGACTGTCCCCTTGGTGGTGGTGCATGTGCACCCAGAGACCTTGTTCCTTACTGAGATGCTGCCTGTATGATACCATCACAGTCCACTGTCTTCTCCTTAAAGCTATTATGGGGGGTTATGCTTGGAAGGACTCTGCAGCCCTGGCTTATTTGCCAAGATAACCTCCCTCCCCCTTCAGCCAGCTAGGAGTTGCCAAAGGATGGGCTACACATCCTAGAAAAAGAGCATTCCAAGAGATCTTGGAGCCTCCAGAGAGGTTTTTTCCTCTTCCTGTGTGCAGAGTGAACCCTCATCTGGCTCCTGTCCTAGAGAGAGAGACTCATAATCCAGAACTTCTGATAGGATATTGGTACATTATCCTTAAAATAAGTAATGCAGGAAGGGAGACTCTGGTCTCTTGAATCCTTTGCTAGAGTTACCTCTAAATATAAAAGCAAGAGATGCTGCATTTCGAACACTAAACTCTCTTTGGAGGAGGCAATAAATGCAGAATAGCTCTATGAAGGGGCGGGGCAGAATCCTCTACTGCTGAGATCTATGCCAAACTGTATAAGATCCCTAAAGAAAAGTGGAATAGATTTGGTCATTTTCCTGAAGTGAATTCTAAAATCTTCTTACTGCTTTTACTTATACATACACCTCTACCCCAATATAACGCTACCCGATATAACTCGAATTCGGATAAAACGCAGTAAAGCAGTGCTCCGGAGGGGCGGAGCTGCGCACTCCGGTGGATCAAAGCAAGTTCGATATAACGCAGTTTCACCTATAATGCGGTAAGATTTTTTTTTTTTTTTTTGGCTCCCGAGGACAGCGTTATATAGGGGTAGAGGTGTATAAAAAAACAAAGCCACTCATCCTGTGAATGCTATTTCCCTCAAAGTTCCACTGGACAAAAAAATTAGAGCACTGACACATCTCAATAGTGGTTTGTGCTGTGTATGCCCTACCCCCACTTCGAAAGCCTTCCTCACCATAAACAAAGCACGTAAGACTAGGAGACGCATTTGGCTGCAGTCACTGACCCTGTCCCCCAACACCACTATGGCCCAGAGCTCTTATTTCAGACTGGTTTGAGTTCCCCAAAAGTATGGAATAGTTCTGCTCAGTCCTGGCTCTACTGGTACCTAAACCAATCAGCCAGGTCAGGCTAGAAAATCTATCCTTCCTAGTTTTAAGAGATTCAGAAAGTGGATTACCTGTGTTCCATAGGCTTAAAGGAGATATACCAGCATGTCCCCTTCCAGCTGCCTGTCAGTATTTGTGCTTCACTCTGGACAGTTATCATTTCCAATACATGATCCTCTTTTTGTCCCCCTCTTTGGCCTCACAGCTTTTCTCCAAGATTTTGATAGCCCTGATTACCTCCCTGAGGGAGGAGGAGATTTACATTTACTACTATACAGATGACATTCTCATCCAGTCCAGTGCCAGCAGAAGCCATCTGAGATGCCCAGTTGGCTAATTCAAGCTCTGCAGAGGCACAGCTTTGTCTTTAACCTGGAAAAGAGCTCCCCAACACTTCTCAGGATCTCCAGCATTTGGGGGCCAGATTGTGCATTCTCAGAATAAAGAGTGTAGATCCTCTTATTCATAACTCACAGACAACCACTTGGAGGAGCATTCTGCCTGCTTGATCTGATGTGTCTAGCACAGTCCAGTGGATCTTTCTCCACACACAACCTCTCCAGGCTGTCATTTTCTCTATGGGGAATCACAGTGAGGAGTCCCCTTGTAGTTCACTGTATCTCACATCATCAATGCTGTAGTAGCACAATATACAATACTCAAGGAAAGCCTCTTTCAGATCCAGCAGTGACAAGGATTGTCATAGACACCTGTATCAGCCTTCATGCTGTCACACTCATAGCGGGGCAAATGATCTTCAGCCGAATCCAGGAGGAGCATCAGCTGGCTGGAGATCAGTGCCATCACTAATGTTCTGAGACACCTCTCCCCTCTCTTGACCACCACTGATAACAAGATGGCAGTGGTCTATATCAACAGGCCAGGCAGGACTGTCAGCTCCTCGTTGCAGGTGAGAGGAAGCATCTAGAGTTCTCCCTGGACAGAGAGGAAATGTCTCTCCATTGCATTAGCTTATTTTAAAGGATAAGATCAATTTACAAACTGTCAATCTTGGAGGGGGATCTGAACAACAAGATCCTTTGCTTAATGTCCCTCTAATGGGGTATTTTCTAAATACACTTGTTTTGCCTCCAACAAGAAACAAAAATCGGATCTCTTCTGCTCCCAGCCCTGGTAGAAACAATACTGGAGAACAGATGCCTTCTCCTTCAATTGGTCTGACCTCTCTTCACCAGAATGGCCAGGAAGATCAAGCCTGACATGAGTAGCACAAAGCACTGGCAAGCACCAGCACCCTTAACTCTACATTGTCTTGTGTGTGTAATCCTATAGTATAGAGTTGAAGTCGGAGTAGAGTGAGAGTGCTTCACCAAGAGCTGGTTATGTCTTTTTCATAAAGGCTGTGAAGAAAGACGCATAGGAATTTAAAGGGTCTTCCCTACTCCTGTGGCATCATGGGAGAGTGAGGAAGGGATAGTATCAGTTTGTATGTGCAATGAACAGGATTGCGATGGTAACACTGACGTCACCTTTAAAGCTGGTAGCAAAAGCTGTATTTCTATGCTAACTTGGTAGCGAGGTTTGGAGTTACTCCCTCTTGTAAACATGAACCTGGATTGATTGATTGATTGTGTTTTTTCTTCCCCCTTCTCCTCCCCCCCCCCCCCCCCCCCACCCCAGAGTGAGATGCAGCTGCGTCAGGAAGCAACGATGAGGCAGCAGCTTGAGGAGATGCTGAATGAACACAGAGCACTGATTGATGCTCTGACAACTGAAATCCTTCTGGTCAGAGAAGAAAATGCTGCCATACAGGTACAAAGAGCTGCTGAGCCTTTCCTTTGACACCCTATGAAGCCCAAGGCAGGAACTAATGCAGTGAAAGATTTAAGCAGGTTCTTTATCTCTAGAATGACGTGTCTGAGTTGATGTGCATTGGCAGAGCAGCATAGGGGGCAAAGGACTTTAACAGCAAGGGACGGCACTACAAATCAGCATTGAAAATGTGATAATTAAAGAATCCGAGGAACGTAGTAGCAGGGGACGTTGTGATAGAGGGGTATGTGGAAGTGTAATGCCAACCCTCAGTGCCTCATTCTAACTAGTGGTATAGTCTCCTCACTTCAGCAAGCTCCAAATTCCTATCAATTAAAAGGAACAATGAGAAACACTTTTTTGAGAAAATCCCTTTAAACTTTGACAGAAGATTGATTTAGTACAGCTTAGCCTTACTTCAATGGATGCCTACTGTGTAGTCTACATGCTTAAAAATCTGCCTCTGCTCTCACAATATTAATACTAGAGGGGCAGTGAAGTGGAACTGACTTGCGGTCTTATCAGTTTCACTCTGCAGCTGTGGTGGATTAGGGTGGAAGTTGCAGCCATAAGAGAAAGCAACCTGGGGAAGGAAGAGGAGGATGGGTGGCAGTGGGGGGGTAATCAGTAAAATATGGAGCTAGTCAGGAAGCAAAAAGAGGAGAAAGAAATAGAGGAGACAGGTGCAGAGATGCCTTTGTTTGGCACCTCACTGAGATCAGATTAAAGCTTTGGCACTAAGGGGGGAAATAGACTCCTCCACTCAGAGGAATAATACATCTGTCTAATTTTTGTCCCTAGAACACAGATCTCTATGCATATGTGTGGTTTGTTTGGTTTTTTTCCCCCTCCCTTAGAAAAGACTTCAGCAATATACGGTGGTAACAGATGAACAGTTGATTTCACTCACTCAAGCATTCAAAAGCCTCCCTGTAACAGATCCTAACAGAGGGCGAAGTCCAACAGATGTTGGAGTTGCAGTCAACAGTCAAGGTGGGTATCATTTCAGCGCATTAGTAGCTTTAGAATCCTAGGTGACATTTTGAAAAACACCCTCCGCTCCAAGTAACATCTGAGACAGTATGGGATAGTTGCCAAGAAATCACTGACACAAACTAGAACTTGATCCAGCAGACGCCTGTTGTAATCTCATTGAATTCAGTGGGACTATGCCAGATAGTAACTATCATACTTGGCAGTAAATTGTCCTACACAGACAAACGTCTAGTCCTAGGCTGATTGATGGATCCCCTTTGCACAGAAAGAGCCAATGGGTTAAATGCTTTCTAGGCACCTCCCAAATAAACCTGGGAACTGTTGTCTGAGTCTAGGCCACAGTAAACAGCTCTTATCTCAAATGCTCTGCCCTGAGACACAGCTGCTAATCTTTGAATTTTACAGCCATATTGTCTGTCTGTCTATTTATTTAATTAAATAAATAAATAAATATTCTCTTCTATACAGTTCTGGTTAATCTCCCCTCCTTCCCCTCACTGGCAGCTCCAAGCCTGGATCTGGACTGTGAGGATCAGTCACGTAACCAACTGTGGACCTATGCTGTAGATGTGGTTATACTACAAACATTTCTGTTACAATTAATGACCCTTTCCTTACTCTTTCTATGAGGATTCTGCTCAGGAAGAGCCCACATAGCTGCTTCTGCTGTGACTCCAGAGGTTTCAGAGCAAAGCTCCCCTTCCTTGAACACAAGTAACCCCTCCAAATGCTCTGCCCTCCTTGGGATGTCTTCCAAAAATACTCTTCCAAAAGAGTCAAAGCATGTTTCTTTCTGTACCTCTTGACGAAGGAGAGTTCTTGTTCCCTTCAGACTCCTCTCTGGATGGTTCAGACACGAGCCAGGTGTTTCTGATGCAGTAGTAGATGAGGCTAACTCATTAGTTACTTCAACAGGTATTTGATAATCAAGGAAGCCAACTGTCTCATATGAGTCTGTTGGAGGAGCTGGTGCTGAGGAGGCAAATGGCACATGGGTAAAACCCTGCAAATGTGCAGATATCCACTTTATAGCCATGGACCATGTTTGCAGATCACAGATAGGCTGCAGATACACATTTTGTATCCACGCAGGGCTCCACACATGGGAAAGAAGCTCTGGAAGGATACTTTTTTTTTTTTTTTTTTTTTTTTTTAAATGGAGATATCCCATTTCCTAGAACTGGAAGGGACCTTGAAAGGTCATCGAGTCCAGCCCCCTGCCTTCACTAGCAGGACCAAGTACTGATTTTGCCCCAGATCCCTAAGTGGCCCCCTCAAGGATTGAACTCACAACCCTGGGTTTAGCAGGCCAATGCTCAAACCACTGAACTATCCCTCCCTATAAAGGAGGATTTTCTCATTCCTTGTTAAGGTCAGTGAGGAACAGTGATTTCTGAGCGGTAGACTCCCCTTAATCTGACATTAGTTTGTAGCAGATGTTACTAACTGTACGCAATGCCTCTAACAGACCAGTTCCTTTTTGGCTCTTTACATTTAAGAGAGCTGTTCTGCAGCCATTCAGTTCTATGATCAGCCATGTCCTGCTTTATCCCTCCTACAGTTTTCCCTCTCAGGCATTAATGCCCTGAACAAAGCTGTTAAGGGGAAATCCAGATATAAGGTCACACATATGGGGGCTTAAGTAAGTAAGTGTGTGTGTGTGTGTGTGTGTGTGTGTGTGTGTGTGTGTGTGTGTGTG